ATATATATATATATATATATATATATATATATATACACATACTTATGAGTGGATCCCAAGCTGCAGCCATAAAGTGATGCATTCCGAGCCACCAGAATAACACTGGGAAAGTAAGCAACACTGAAGTGTACAAACCTTCTCCTCAACCTGAAGAAGACAAAAAGGCAACACCCCAGGCTCGAAATGATGGGATCCTTTATGCCTGAGGAAACACAACTAATCCAGTATGGAATGCTGAACACTCCTCCTCACTTGCCAACTGTGCTCAACCAAGAACCCAGAATGGGACCACTCTGCATTTGTAATTGCAAGGAGTCAATGGACCCTCTTCCATTAACAATGTACTGAACCAGTATTAATTAAAAATAAGGGCCATGCTCAACCCAACTGGATTGCTGAGCATCAAATCTGAGCCAGTACTAAGTAGGCTCCCGAGTAGGTTGGTGCCTCTCCTACTGAGATCTGGGATAAAACATCCAGAGACCCGTGTAGAAGGGCTCCCAACTACACCCTTTTCTCCAAGAATGGAGGAAATTCACTGTAACACTCTGGAGGAAAATCCTCTGTCCACCACCTCAGTGACTGAAAAGAGGGTGTAATAAGGACTGCCTAGCTCCATTAGTAGAATCTGGAGGGTAATGTTCATTGGAGAACCCTGAGAAATCTGAATTGAAACCTGATTGGTCATGCAAGTGAGCAATACTGTTCAGATGAATCAGTGAAAAGAAATTATCCCCTTCCATGGCTGAGAGTGTCTTAGGGAAGAAGAACTGGTCTGAGGACAGAGGTAGAATGATAAAGCACCCTGTGGACAAACTTTGCAAACCACTCTGACAAGCAGTGTTTGTAGGTGTAAAAAACTGGAATGGTCATTTGGGACAATGAATCCAAAGCAATATGATGAAGTCGTTGAGTGCTGGGGATTCAAAGAAATTGTCTTGAGTACTGAACAGTAATTGATACGACCACCTTATACAAGGCAACTGTGGAAGATGCAAAACCCTTGCCAAAGAGTCAGGGCAAAAAATGAGTTATGGTTGGCACTTCTGATCAAAGTGGGTTCAACTTCTTTTCAATACACCATTGTCAATATGTGTACCATTTCCATTAATAAATGTCCATTGCCAGACTAAGCAAAGACTGAGACAGACACATGGCAACCTTAGAAATTAAACCCCAACACCATGTAGTGGACTGCATAATCTTCATGTCTGAAGCTGGAGCTTCTGGATAGCTGGGTGTACCATGTGAGATCATGGCTGCCTTCACAGAGATAGCCAAAGAGGAAGTGGAAGAAGTGGGCACTCCTTAAGGTACTGCAAAAAGAGAAATCAGGGTGTAGCTGCCAATCTGGTGCTATCAGTAGAACTCGACAATGAGTTGGAACAAACCATAGTTAGTACCATGGGTAATATATGAACTAGAGAGAAAGCCTAGAGTTGTAACCCGATTCCAACCTGATGGAATGCATCCATTGCCAAAGCCCAAAGGTTAGGTATTGGAGACCAAATTACCTGTATTTGGGTGTTCCAATGAGTGGTCAACCCACCAATCATTAGTGTTTCAAAATGAGAGCCAATCCAATAGAAAATCTTGTGATTCAGCATCTATTCCATTTGGGTCAAGACAATTGATCTGCTACCGTAGTCATCACTTGCAGAACATGGTAAGATAGTAGGGTGATATGATAGGAGTGGTCCAAAGAAAGGAAATACAAGGTTCAAAAACAAGGAGCCCTGGACCAAGTGCCCCTTGATGGGAAATGCAAGACATAACTGAGGAATTCTCGGAGTGAAGCCAATGATTTTTCCCTTAATAAGCCCAGACCATGGAGCATTAGCTTTTGAAAAGGAAGAAGGACTAAAATGTTATGTAGGTAAGCCTCCTCACCCATGCATAGACCCTGGAATTGACTGTTGGGATATACAACCCATCCGTGAAGCAAGGCATTAATGAAGAGATGGATCTCTGGACAAGGTGGCAACAGAGGAGCCCATATCTTAGTATTGTCCCGACTTATCAACCCCTTGAGATAAAAGAATGATTCTGAATAAGGAAACAGGGGAATCCAATGAATTGACAGTTATGATCCCTTGGTTGCATAAAGACTATTGAAAAGATCTCTTTTGCTCTCGTCCCAAAGGCATGATTGATTCGAGTGATGCTCACATTCTTAAAAGAGAAAGAATCATCCATGCAGTGGGAGAAAGAAAGGTAAGAGTCAGGCTTCCTCTTCTATAGTATGGAGCCAGATGGGAGTCAGCTCAGCCCAATTGAGATAGGCGATGAAAAAAGAAATACCCGAACTGATGATATATTGAGTTGGAGCCTTGGTTGTTTCTGAAAGTAGGATCTGGGTGTGACATTATGACAATTTACAAGATGGTGTCAGCAGTAACCAGTTGTCCATGAAATTGTGTGTGGACAGGCCTAGGGAAGGAAGGTTATGAGAAAAAGCTTGTACAATTCTGCAGAACCCATATGATGCCTATGCTTTTGTGAAGATGAAAACCCTGAACTGCAATACCTAACCTTGTGCACAAAAAGAAAAAAAACACTAGAGGTGGGATGCCATCACAATGGCAATGTGCAAATAGGAGTTGTAGTTCCAACAACTGTGGCAGATAATGCATAGCTGTCCCTTTTAGTAACTGAGCAGTAAACCTCTCTGCATGAACCACAATGCTCTTGGATGGGGAGAAAACTAAATATTCACTCCCAGACTTTTCAGCCATCAAGTAAGGTGCAGGCTCAAAGACCATTGGGAAAGACCCAAAACACCACACTATTGATGGACCAACTGAAAAAACAAGGAAAACTTATCCCAAAGTGGCCTCCATTTCTTATTTCTTCTAAAGACTGTTCTGATTCCTGTTGTTTAAAACAACATTTGGTCAGGCAAGTTTGCTTTGTTAGAGCAAAACAAGGTTGGGCTATCTGCTATGTCCACTGTAGGGAATTGAACCCTGGACTTCAGCACTGTAAGTCCATAAACTTAATACTGTCCCACAGGGGGACTGAGAAGCCAAAAGAATAAAAGATGGTGCAGGAAAAAGCAAATCGAAATTATCTCCAGGTTGTCCAGGATTGCCCTCAATTGCAGTCTCAGAGCCCCCTAGAGGGACACCACCAAACCGAATATATGTCTTAATCTCACTATGAATAGGATCATTGACAGTCTCAACCCCCTCCCTGATTGTTGTGCGATGGTAGATATCAGAGGCGGGATAGGAGAGACTTCATTTGCCTCAGTGCTGGAAATAATAATTCGAGAATTCATACTGTATACCGGCTCATCATTTGATTTTTTTTTTATGAAAATCAAATAGGCAATATGAAGAACACTCAAAGTATTTCCAATGATCATAGTAAAGAGAAACCTGTTAGAGAATGCTTTGTCAAGAAAAAGTGATAAAATCATCTGAATGAAGTGCTTATATACAGTACTAGGAAAGAGGGCGCATTAAGGTAGGTGGAGAGTGTCAGGAGAGAAATATCACCAAACCCAATTAAGTCGGGTATAAAAAACTGGAATAAGTGAGAAAAAAATTAAACCAATATTTAGATGGGCAAAGGAAGAAACTCTGGCAGTTCAGTAATAGCTGGTGTGAAAGGAGGTAAGTATGTTTTGGAAATACACATATTACATTAAAAATTACAGTATGGATATTTTAAAGGTTACCTGTTGGTTACAAGGTTGGTCAAAATGATTAAGCCCATATGGAAATAAATTTTTTTTGTAAAAGACAAATACAAAAAAATTAGTACTCACATGCTTTACCTCAGTGCAGGGAAATCCTCCTGTTGCCTCTCCTAATACAGGATTATTTTCATTCTGCCCTGATTTTTCAGGTATATACAGAACCTATTTAAAATTTAACCATAAGAAATGAAAAAAGTCTTTAACTAGAAGATAACATTTATTTCATTTACAATTAAAAGAATTTAGTGATTTTTCAAAATAAATTTCACTTCAAAGAGAGATAAAGTATCTAATTTAAATGAAATGTGCAACGAAATAATATAAATATGTCTACATAAATAGTATTTTATGTAAATTAAATAGTATGCATACTTGACTTTACAATCTTATATTTGACACAAGTTTTAAAAAATTCAATGTGAAAATATAAAGTACGAGTCTTTTGTTTAGATCAAAAATTAGAATGTGTCTAAGAATAATGCTAAAAACATTGTGCAATTCAATATTTAACTACTATGAGTATTCATACTATGCAGAGCACACCTTACTGCACTTTATTTATTACATTTTTTGTAATGTTTTATCTTCTTTCTAAATGATTATAAAATGAAGAGATGAGTAGATACTTTTAAAGTAACCACACTATGAATATCAAGCTATTTTAATATCCCACACTGTTCTTAAAGAACTAAGTTTGGTTATTTTTGTTCAGACCAAATGTAGATTATTGGTCAAGAAAAACTAGTTTTATTACTAAAGAGAAATGAATCCATATGTACAAAATAAATCAGCTGTCTCTAAAGATGTTGCTAAAAAGCAAAAGTGAAACAGAAGTGTATCTTCCTCTGCTAGCTGGCTGAGTCAAACACCATCACCACTTGAAGAGTGTTCCAAACAAGAACAAGAAATAACACAAAAGATGGAATTAAGTTATGAAGCAATGTTTGAATCATTTATTAGTCAACTACATTTAAAGAAAGAGAGAAATAGGTTATCCATAATAAAGCTTCAAAAAGAAGCTCACTCTCACTAGTATATGTTCAAAGAATATTATTCCTTTGAATTTTACATGCCTATAGCACAAAATGCATCACTCAATTCTGCATAAGATAAGGCAATGCCCTGCAATATGGGCAGAATATAAAAATATGTATGGAAATAATAATATGGGGGTTATAAACTTACCTCAATAAAACCTCCAAAATGACTGTAAAAACAACCACAATCTGAACCCAAAAGCAAATGACACAGCAGACTACTATGATAAACAGACTTGTTTTAAAAGAATTTTACATGTCTAACTTCTAAGTGCAAAGTTCTAACCATTTCATTCCTCTCACTAGGCTGACAAAAAAAATATTTGGAATTGATGACTTACATCTGGGAAACATTTTTTTTCCATCTTTATTTGTTTTTGATTGATACCCAGATTATATTTAGGGTATATTTTCATAAGAATTAAAAGGTCAAAATTTGAGCAACAGAAGGCACATAACTGACAAATCAATGCAGTTATTTTAGGATTAAGGAAGTTCCACATATGACTAGGACCAAGCTAGATAGACAAATTCTTAACCAATTAAGCTTACGTTGTAATATTTTGTGACCTTTTTAAAATTATTTCATTTTCTTACTTATTTGGCTAGCATTATTTCAACCACTTTGTAACCACCAGGTAATCATAAAGTATACATACTATAACTTTTAATATGGTGTGTATATTCACAAAATTTGGCAAGTTTTTAGTAACTTTACAAGTCTTTTATACACAAAGGTCAGTTGTTAATCAAGTATTTTTTACTAAAGAGTTGTTTACGAATATATGGAGTCAGAGTGTTGATAAGTCTGAATGCAAGGTGATTTTCATGTTAAGATTAAAAATATTCATATTCTTCTTAAAGTTTACAAATATCATTTGCATTAGTTCTAAAACCTCTTATGTGAATATCAAACTTTTTTAAGTAAAACTATATTTTATCTCTTATTTTCTCTACTCTAACTCTATACAGACTTGGTCAATTTGACTGACCTTGTAACCACAATGAAAAAATAGGATACAAATCTAAGTAACCCTATTTCTTTCTCAAATGACTACAGATCATAATAGGAAATTAGAATTGTTTATCCTAAATAGTATAAGGCTAGATCTCATTCTACTTAATTGTATTGTTTTATTGCCCCTTGAACCATATTTACCTAATAATCTCATCATAAAATCTGTAAGTCATTCAGTGAAAGCATAGCTCAAGTTACCATATTGAATGATGTTAACACACAAGGTACTCACAAGCATACCTTGTGAAGAAATTTTTCATTATGTTACCTAATCTAATCTTAACTAACCTAAAAAGTTCCTAATGTTTACATTTTAGTTACTTTTATAACAATAAAAAAAATATACATAAAAAATCTAGAAATGTACTACTTATATTTGGTCTAATTTTTTGCTGTCAGCCAGCCAAAGAAATCTAAGCTTACTTTTTGTAATGATGGCACTATTATATTAAATAACTTTTATTAAGAACACAGAATAATAACATGCACAAAGCAAACAATTTCCTTAAACTATTAAAATTTAACTGGCTTTATAACTAAGGCACAAGTGTCTTAAAATAATTCCCTTAGCTACTTGATCTGAACTCAGTGATACCATCTTTAAACCTGCAGATGAAATAACTAAAATTCTGTACTGAGAACAATACAGCATTATACATCATTTGGTAAATTAAAACTTTGTCTTTCTATTAGTTATAAATGGTGTAATAGATAATGCCTTAAGAGAATTATTGGTAATTTGTGAAAGAGAGGATATGACAACAGGGTCTGACTTTCTAGTTTATATCCCCATAAACAAAGATCAAAGGCTATAAAGATTAGACTTTGCCTTAGTAATATTTATACTATAATGAGCAATTTACATAAAATTCAACACATCACAGAGGGGTGTGAAAAAATTTGGTGAAAACAAATGTCACAATTCTTATACAAGAGAAAATGATGATTTATTTAAATATTTCCTTTTAAAAATTAAGAAATTAATATTTATAATATTACTTATATGATATTAAAATTTGACTTATTAACAAAATTTTGATGCCGAGTATATTTTTATATGTCGATAATGAAGTAGTTAAATTACATTTTGAATATAACTCTGTAGTGAGAGATTTAAGGTAAAAGTTAATCAACCCTATCACAACAGGTTCATGTATTCTGACCTTGTAATCCTGGTAGTATACATACTATGACTCTGAAAGTACTTAATGTATCTTTGTGTAATTTGACAAGCTTTTAGTATACATTAAGAAATACAAATCACAATTTTTAATTAAGTATTTATACTAAAAACTTTGTATTTAATTACATGATGTCAGAGTATTGACTGGTTCGGATGCAAAGTGATTTGCATGTTAAGATTAAAAATACATTTCTTCATCTCCTAAATAGATATCAAATGTTTTTTTCAGAAAAACTTTAAATTCTATCTGTTATTTTCTAAGCTATAACTCTATACAGGGTTGATCAATTTAACAGACCTCATAACCACCATAATAAAGTTAGGAAATAATTCTAAATTACCTTTTTTTTTTCTTGAATGACTGCAAATTGTAATACAAAACCACAATTGTTTATTCCAAATAGATTAAAGCTGATATCAGTATACATTTATTTATACTTAATTTTATTGTTTCATTGACTTTTGAACCCCGTCCAACTAATAATCCTGCCACACAAATTGCAAATCATTCAGCAAATGCGTAACTTACATTACCCTATCCAATTATGTAATGCACAAGATGCTCACAAGTGTACCTCAAGAAGGATTTTTATTATTATTTATCTTGCCTAATAAGTTTGTAATTTTTACATTTTATCTATTTTTATAATAATAAATAAAGAACACATACAAAATAAACAAATATAGTACTTACCTGGGGTTCTTTTTCTTTGCTGTCAATTGTCTATGAAAAGTAAGTCTTAATTTCTTATACTAATGGTACTACCACACTAAATAATTTTTTATTCGATTAAATACTGCACCTAAGAACACAGAATAGTAAGATGTAAAAAGCAGACAATGTCCTATAACTCTCATGATTGATTATAAATCTCTCCAGGTAAAGAAAAGATGCAGTGATGGCATGACCCACAGAGGTGCAGATGGTCACAGTCTCCAAGGGCATATTGAGTAGCACAGATATGGTATGTGCTGGTCAACCAGCAGTGCCACACCTCCATGAACCTGTTCATCACACAACCTGTCATTCTAGTATAAAGAAAACTGAAAGGTGACAGCATCAGCAGGTCATAGGAATGTTTCCTGTAAGGAGACACACACAGGATGTCAATCAATCAAGGTCTTAATGTTATCCAAATTAGAATGTATCAAAGTGGCCATTTATATTTAGGAGGAGAACTGGGTGGAGAACCCTTTTGTTTGCAACCACCACATTGTTCTTCAGAAGAAAGAGGTCTATCAACCTCCAAGGACCAACAGGGCAGATATATGACAGAAGGAGAATTCAGAGACTGAGTGCATGACCCAATAATGGTTCTGCACCTTAGGGCCAAAGGAGAGGGACCTGAGTAGTCACTGGATGTGACAGTGAGAACAGACAGGAGTAGACATAGATCTGTCAACTCTTGCATCCACAGAGGGCAAAAGACTTTTGACATGATGAGAGAAAAACTCTGTTGGAGGCACAGAAAATCTGCCTGCATTCTCACTGTAGCAGTGGAACAGAGAGCAGCAGCATAGGTCCAAAATGAACCAGGGAACAACAAATTCTAGACCTTGAGATAAGAGATGTTGTTTACAGTATGTAAACATTGTATCTCTTTTTTTCCTCCACCAACTTAGGGCAAGAATGAAAGTATGAGGGGTGGATGATGCAGTGAGAATCTAGTTGACACTCATAGGTGTCATGGTCTTTGCCACCACAGTGAGCACACGTCAAAGAACCACAACAAGATGCCTTAGAATGTCTGAACTGCTGACATTGGAAACACCTGGGGGTTAGGAATATATGGCTATACCTTATAGTTAAGATAACCTGTGTTAACAGTGGCAAGTGGATGTGGCAATATAAACATCAGTATAAGAACACTGACAGGTTGCATAATTCCATCTTTATGATTGAGGATACATCACACAGCAGAAG